GGGTATTAACTCATTAAACATTTCATTTTATTGTTCGAAGTGCCATAAAGATGTATCAGTACTTTCTGGAACATTTTTCGATAACATGAGAGTACCGGTTAGAAGAGTCATACAGTTAATGTGGTTGTGGACGTCTGATATTCGTTCGCATTGTGCTCCGGAATTAGTAAATGTCCGTCAAGAAATGGTTATCCAACAGTACAGATATTATCGAGACATTGTTCATTGGAAATTACTACAACCAAATCAAGCTGATGCCTTTTTAATGGGTGGTCTTGGACATGTTGTTCAAATAGACGAGTCCGTAATAGCTAAAAGAAAATATAACAGGAGCACACTTGTGCGAGAGAAGTGGATATTGGGTATCTATGTACTTTAAAAAAAGGCGTCGTTAAATATGAACCTGACAGGTCTGTAGACACCTATTATAAGGGAAGTGGTAAGACCAGGCTCAGAAATATGGAGTGATAAGTGGAAAGACTATCTAAGCCTTAATAAAGTGGGTATATTTATCACACAGTCAACCATTCAAGGTACTTTACTGAATTAGACACAGGTGTATGTACCAACCAGGTTGAGCGATTTTGCAGCTGTCTAAAAATATTTTTAAGGAGACGTGGAGTGATGAGTTCACCATTTTTAGTACATAGACATGAGAGTACCGGTTAGTAGAGTCATACAGTTAATGTGGTTGTGGGCGTGTGATAATCGTTCGCATTGTGCTGCGGAATTAGTAAATGTCCGTCGAGAAATGGTTATCCAACAGTACAGATATTATCGAGACATTCTTCATTGGAAATTACTACAACCAAATCAAGCTGATGCCTTTTTAATGGGTGGTCTTGGGCATGTTGTTCAAATAGACGAGTCCGTAATAGCTAAAAGAAAATATAACAGGAGTACACTTGTGCGAGAGAAGTGGATATTGGGTATCTATGATGTAACTTTAAAAAAAGGCGTCGTTAAATATAAACCTGACAGGTCTGTAGACACCTATTATAAGGGAAGTGGTGAAACCAGGCTCAGAAATATGGAGTGATGAGTGGAGATACTATCTAAGCCTGAATAAAGTGGGCATATTTATTACACAGTCAACCATTCAAGGTACTTTACTGAATTAGACACAGGTGTATGTACCACCAGGTTGAGCGATTTTGGAGTTGTCTAAAAATATTTTTAAGGAGACGTGGAGTGATGAGTTCACCATTTTTAGTACATAGACATGAGAGTACCGGTTAGAAGAGTCATACAGTTAATGTGGTTGTGGGCGTGTGATATTCGTTCGCATTGTGCTGCGGAATTAGTAAATGTCCGTCGAGAAATGGTTATCCAACAGCACAGATATTATCGAGACATTGTTCATTGGAAATTACTACAACCAAATCAAGCTGATGCCTTTTTAATGGGTGGTCTTGAACATGTTGTTCAAATAGACGAGTCCGTAATAGCTAAAAGAAAATATAACAGGAGCACCACTTGTGCGAGAGAAGTGGATATTGGGTATCTATGATGTAACTTTAAAAAAAGGCGTCGTTAAATATAAACCTGACTGGTCTGTAGACACCTATTATAAGGGAAGTGGTGAAACCAGGCTCAGAAATATGGAGTCATGAGTGGAGAGACTATCTAAGCCTGAATAAAGTGGGTATATTTATCACACAGTCAACCATTCAAGCTACTTTACTGAATTAGACACAGGTGTATGTACCAACCAGGTTGAGCGATTTTGGAGTTGTCTAAAAATATTTTTAAGGAGACGTGGAGTGATGAGTTCACCATTTTTAGTACATAGACATGAGAGTACCGGTTAGAAGAGTCATACAGTTAATGTGGTTGTGGGCGTGTGATATTCGTTCGCATTGTGCTGCGGAATTAGTAAATGTCCGTCGATAAATGGTTATCCAACAGTACAGATATTATCGAGACATTGTTCATTGGAAATTACTACAACCAAATCAAGCTGATGCCTTTTTAATGGGTGGTCTTGGACATGTTGTTCAAATAGACGAGTCCGTAATAGCTAAAAGAAAATATAACAGGAGCACACTTGTGCGAGAGAAGTGGATATTGGGTATCTATGATGTAACTTTAAAAAAGGCGTCGTTAAATATGAACCTGACAGGTCTGTAGACACCTATTATAAGGGAAGTGGTAAGACCAGGCTCAGAAATATGGAGTGATGAGTGGAGAGACTATCTAAGCCTGAATAAAGTGGGCATATTTATCACACAGTTAACCATTCAACGTACTTTACTGAATTAGACACAGGTGTATGTACCAACCAGGGTTGAGCGATTTTGGAGTTGTCTAAAAATATTTTTAAGGAGACGTAGAGTGATGAGTTCACCATTTTTAGTACATAGACATGAGAGTACCGGTTAGAAGAGTCATACAGTTAATGTGGTTGTGGGCGTGTGATATTCGTTCGCATTGTGCTGCGGAATTAGTAAATGTCCGTCGAGAAATGGTTATCCAACAGTACAGATATTATCGAGACATTGTTCATTGGAAATTACTACAACCAAATCAAGCGGATGCCTTTTTAATGGGTGGTCTTGGGCATGTTGTTCAAATAGACGAGTCCGTAATAGCTAAAAGAAAATATAACAGGAGCACACTTGTGCGAGAGAAGTGGATATTGGGTATCTATGATGTAACTTTAAAAAAAGGCGTCGTTAAATATGAACCTGACAGGTCTGTAGACACCTATTATAAGGGAAGTGGTAAGACCAGGCTCAGAAATATGGAGTGATGAGTGGAGAGACTATCTAGGCCTGAATAAAGTGGGCATATTTATCACAGTCAACCATTCAAGGTACTTTACTGAATTAGACACAGGTGTATGTACCAACCAGGTTGAGCGATTTTGGAGTTGTCTAAAAATATTTTTAAGGAGACGTGGAGTGATGAGTTCACCATTTTTAGTACATAGACTTGTTTATGTGGCGACAAAGTTTTGGTTCCACAGCCCAACAAAGACTTTATAATCTCAGTTTCCAAATTTGTGAACAATATTCTTAAGTTTTTATATATTACGTATTTTATTTTTATTTGTTTGTTAGTTTTCGTTACTTTTGGATTTTTATTTATTTTGGTAAATATATTTAATTTTATAGAATAGTTATTTTACACATACTTTTTACAGAAACATCAGGGGAAAATAAAATGGACGATAATGGGGATGCAATTTTGAAGAAGATACTTGGTCGAGAGAGGGCTTTATTAGAAATGAAGCTTCTGAAGACAACTTTCGAAGCAAATCAAGCTTATATGTAGTTTTTTTAGGGAGATAATAGAAGCAAAAATAAAATTTATTTCAATGTTTATCTATTTTACTTACTCAACTGAAAATGACCTGCTCCCTCTGTATAAAAATACATCGATATATGTTTTCTAATTTCTTTCACTATTTTATTATACGTATTGGTAGAGCGGTTTCAAGATGATATTGGTACACAACATGGCGGCGGAAAAAGTTGCGCAGTGGCAAGTTGCCTAGCAACGGCCACCCGGCGAAACCAAACGTAGTCATTTAGTGGCGTAAACCTGGCTAGAGTGTAAGTGAACAGAGTGCAAAAATTGACAATTTTATGTAATTATAGTGCTTTATGATTTATATTTACATATATTGTTTCTGTTGTTGTAATGGTTTCAAAGAGAATCGGATTAAATGAGAGGTCCCTGGATAGTCAAAGAAAAGAAATTATATACAATATTAAAAAATTATGGAAAAAGAAGCAAATGAAAGATTTTAAATTCCTCTAAAAATTATCGGTGAGTATGATAATGTAGTATTTATTTTATAAAAGTATAGTATATTGGATAACAAGTAGTAAGAAGCGTTAGCGGCGAGTGCAGTAATTCTAAGAGCATGTAGTTATTTTGCAAAAGGTGTAAGATCGGCAACTTGATTTCAGTGGAAGCAAAGAAAATTTAAGAAAACTGATACATTCTATTGGTTTTAGGTAAGTAGAATATACTGGTCTATTTAGTGATTTGTTATTTACAGATGGAGAAAGACAGAAGATAATAGGAGCGTATTAGTTGAAAAACACGATATTCGTTACAAAAGAATAAAATTTCTTAAAGAAATGATTCAGTATCGATCCGACAGCAGAAGTATTATCTACACCGATAAAACTTATATTCACAGTAGTGTAACGAAGTTACTTTTATTTAATTATTTGTAAAAAAAAACAGAATCCGTCGAAAAAAATCGAATTTAGCATTTTTTTAAATATACCGAAGTTACTTTAATCGAATTACTTGAAAAACATAGAATCCATCGAATTTAACATCGTTTTTAAATTTCAATTACTTGGCATTGGATCCTTATATTAAGAACGTCGCAATTCGATTTTCAAGCGAATTCTGTGTTTGAAACCCCTTTAGTCATCTATAAATGTTGTGAGTGAGCGGCCGACCACGGTAGCTATGACAACACTTCTACGCGCGTTGCGACCTATAAAAGCAGCAAGCAAAGCGAGAAGCAGTTCGATATAGAGTGTTTATACTACAAGCGACGGAACGGCCTGTAATCGCCTTTGGCAGGAGCAGCGTTCATAACAGCGATTTATAAGTGATATTAATTCCGATTTTAATCATTTATTTTATTTCAGACTTTTTAACCATTATTTATTTTCAGATTATTTAACAAATTTTCTTTTATTACAGATTGTTTAACCATAACATTTATTTCAGATTTAATCAATATTATTATTTTTCAGATTCTTTAACTAATATTTCTTTATTTCAGATTGTTTAATACATTTAAAAATTTATTTCAGATTCTTTAATTATTATTTTTATTTTCAGAATGACTTAATCATAACTTTTATTTCAGATTCTTTATTTTAATCATAAAATTTATTTTCAGATTTTAATAATTTCTTTTTACAGGACTAAAATAATACTTATTTTATTTTTAATCCTAAAATTAAAGGTCTTTTTTGAAAGAGGAGACCTTTAAATTTATTTCAGGGGGTACGACAAGAAGGGAAATGGCCCCAGGGGGCACGGGCACCGTCCCAAAAATAATCACGAAAAAAGACAGAGACGTGTCTTCTACGAGGGAAAAATACAAGCTAAAGCTTGAAAAAGCCGAAGAAAAATACAATAAAGCCATAGAAGCTCAAAATGCTCTACAAGAAGCAAACGATAGATTAATGTTGAGAATAGCAGGCCTAGAAGGCACCAACGCTAAACTCAACGAGAAAATGGACTCACTACTACAGAAAATTGACAAAATGATGGCAGACCAACAAAAAGCAGCACTTCAAACCGAAGTCAAGGGAACCGAAGTCAAGGAAATAGTAACCGAAGAAATGGTCGAAACCCACGTGCAAGGCGCTGCGGACGACAATCATATGAGTGCTGATGAATACGAATTACCAGCAACCGACGAGGATGAAGAAGAGGGTTTCGAAAAACCGAAACCTACAAAAAACGCTATAAGAAGAGAGAGAAGAAAGCGAAACCGCCCTGAATCAGACGGCGAAAGACACGACGGTGCCCACGGGATCAAGTCGAAAAAGCCAACACCCGAAACAAGCCCGCCCAGTGCCACTGCTGGTGCAGAAAACAATACCGAAAACGACATGACAGTACAGGAGGCACCGAAGGTGAAAATCCCTCCGATTGTACTTAAAGATACGACACAATGGAACTCTCTCCACCGCGGCATGAAAAGCCGTAACATCAACTTTCAAGATCCGAGACTGCAAAACGGCGGTCTAAGAATCTTTACCAACACTTCAGATGATTACCATAAAACGGTAAAATACTTTGAAGAGATGAAAGTCAAATTCTACTGCTATACCCTTCAAGAAGACAAGCCATACAAAGCGGTACTGCGAGGTGTACCGACCCACAATACCCCAGAAGACGTAACCAACGAGTTGATACTTCAAGGCATCACGCCGTTGAAAGTACAGCACATGCGTTCAAGATACAACAAGTCCGTCATACCACTATACCTAGTGGATGTGAACCCACAAGATGAAGAAGCAATCATGAAGATCAACAGACTATGTAACGTAGTCATGAAAGTCGAAAAACTGAGAGCCTCATCCACCATTGCCCAGTGCTACCGATGCCAAGGCTTCCACCACGCCCAATCCAACTGCCATGACGACGTCAGGTGCGTTAGATGCGGTGGCCCACATCGAGCTGACGCATGCCCAAGGGATAGGCAATCAGATCCTACCTGCGCTAACTGTGGAGGAGTACACCCCGCCAGCTATAGAGGATGCCCCAAAGCCCCCAAACACAAGACCGCCCAAAAGGCCAGCCCCAAAACCATCCAGAGACCCGCGAACAGGATACAAGGTGTATCCTACGCAAACACCACAGCCCCCGCAGCCACAACTGCCACCCCCGCTGCAGTATTCAAATCACTGCCCCAGGATATGCATCGCCTTATTATGGAAACCTGCCAAAGATGTGTGACTGAAATACTCACCCAAATTTTCCCTACAAACCAGAAATGAACAACACGCCGATACAACCAGGTCAACTGAAGATCGCATCATGGAACTCCGGAGGCATCCGGACCAACAAACTCCTGCTGGAAGAATTAATCGAAAGAGAAAATCTAGACATTGTCGCACTCCAGGAAACAAAGTTACATGAAAGTGTCAACTTAAAGTTTCTAGGATACGACACGTATAGAAATGATCATAGAGGAAATTCTGGAGGCACAGCGATTCTAGTGAGGAAGGAGATCGACCACTACCACACTCCAACCCCCGATGGACTGATGACTATGGAAGCTACTACCGTTACCATCAGAACCAACCATGGCAACTTAAACGTAGTATCAGCATACCTCAGACCACAGGACATCCTACACATAGAAGACCTCGATGCACTCATACCACACAACACCGAGGTAATAATGATCGGCGATCTTAACGCAAAATCTCCAAACTGGAACAGCACGACTACAAACCCTAAAGGACGGGCACTCGTGGATTACCTAGATGACAACCCCACATACTTTGATTACTATACGAGGCAAGAGAGAGGTCCGACACGCCCAACATAGGGCGCGGCCATTTTGAACCCTGTGACACAGTTTACAGCTAAAGAATCAGATCGCTCACTCTGCGTCGGCACTTTGGATCTCAATGTTTCAGTTTATACACTGTGCAACTCGGATAATACAATATATGACAACCGCCTACAATAAAACAGCAGTCTTCTGCGTATCCTGAATTTGTATCCCTGGAGTGGATGTTATTTTGGAACTTTCAACTGGTCCGAGTGAGCTAACTGATTCTTTAGCAATAAACTGTGACTTCAAAAATAATATTCACTGACACTTACAGCAGCAAGCAAAATATCAGGTGCGTTTTAATCATCCGCTTCTGCGTCCGGAATTGTCGGTTTAGTCGTTTTAACCTGTCAGATTAAAACAAGAAAACTGACAATTCCGAAGCAGAAGCGGATGATTAAAACGCACCTATTAAAAATATTGCGCCAAGATGTAGGCAACACGTAATAAGGGTTCAAAATGGCGGAGTTTTCTATCTCCTTTTAAAAGGCACTCAGAAAGCTGCGCAGTGCGACCATTCTCCGTATAGTAAAAGAAAATCAAAGTATGTGGACAACCCACAATGTTCAGCAATAGGACCAGAGGAACCAACACACTTCCCACCGAGAGGAGTACCAGACGTCATCGACATAGCCTTACTTAGAGATTGCACATTTCCTGTCGAAATGTACTCTATGCAAGAAGGTTTCGGATCACACAACCCTATTCTACTCCAACTGGGAGACGGAGAATGGGAAGATGTACCCAAGAACGTATCGAAAACGAACTGGATACAATTCAAGCGCCTAGTGGGAGGAAACCTAGGAAACATCCCAAGGATAGAAACCCATGAAGACGTGGACCTAGCGCTAGAACATTATGAAAACGTCATCAGACAGGCAATAAGTACCAGCACAAGAGAGACAGCGACAGTTAAACGTAGTAAATTCAAAGCCATCAGCCAAGAATTGAAGGACCTGATTGTAGAAAAAAGGAGAGCAAGAAGACGTGCAAACAGAACACGCAACGAAATGGATAAGAGACATGCCAACAATCTAGGACTACATGTTAGAGATGAGTTAAGGCAACACCAAGACGACATGTGGAAACAACATCTAGAAGAACTAGATCCACAAAAACCCGGATTATGGACCCTCCAAAAAGTTCTGAGAAATCCGCATAGACGGATTCCTACGCTACATGGACCAAATGGACTCGTCTTCACGCTCGAGGACAAAGCAGAAGTATTCGCCACCTCCTTTGAGGCCGAATCCCAGCTGAATGACCACGACGACGAGGACATCGAATTCACTGAAGCTGTAGAAAACGACTGGGATAACGCACCTGAGAATATTCAGAGCCTTGCCCCCACTTCTCCGGATGAGGTAAAAAATATAATCAAGTATGTTTCAGCCAAGAAAGCACCAGGACATGACAGAATCTCGAACCGTGCGATCAAACACCTACCGCAGAAAGCCATAGTCTTTCTCACCACCATCATCAACGGGATTTTAAGAACTCAGTACTTCCCAAGACTTTGGAAAACTGCAGAGGTGCAGAGGTGCAGATGATCCCCAAACCCAACAAGGACCCTACTTTTCCACAAAATTACAGGCCAATCAGCTTGCTGCCAGCGCTTAGTAAAATTGCGGAAAGAGTAATTCTAACTAGGCTCAAGGACCAAACCAGTGAACTCAACATCATCCCTGACGAGCAGTTTGGCTTCAGACCCCAACACTCCTGCGAACTCCAAGTCCTGAGACTAGTGGAACACATAACCAAGCGATTCAACTGGAGACAGTCAACTGGAGCCATATTCTTGGATGTCAGCAAGGCATTCGATCGAGTGTGGCATCAAGGACTCGTTTTCAAAATGAAAGACCATGGATACACAACAGGAATGACGGAACTACTTAAGTCGTACCTCAGTGAACGGAAGTTCCAGATCAAGGCAGGACGCATCCTGTCGAGAGTTGGAATCACAGAAGCAGGGGTACCTCAAGGAGTGGTACTATCACCATTGTTGTATACCATATACACCGCAGACATCCCCAAAACACCTAATACCACCATGTCACTCTACGCAGACGATACGGCCATAGCAGCCTCGAGCACCAGCGCAAGAACGGTAACAAGGCTACTGCAGGAAGCAGCAACAGAAATTCAGGAATGGTGCATCAAATGGAAGATCAAAATAAATGCCGAGAAAAGCCAAGCTGTGTTGTTCAAGAAGAGAAGACATACTCCAGACCAGGAGATCGAATTAAATGGACACGACATACCATGGAGTCGCACAGCAATATACCTAGGAGTAGAAATGGACCAAGGACTCACCTTCACGAAGCATGTGAACATGGTGGTAAATAACGCGAAATTTGCAAGAGCAAAGCTAAATTGCCTCATCGGAAGAAGAATCAATTTACTCCTCAAGACCAAACTCCGGATTATCAACGCCGTGATATTACCAATCCTGCTGTATGCCTCAACTGCTTGGGGATACACTTGCAGGACGAACAGGAAAAGAATCCAAGCCCAGCATAACATCAGCTTACGCACGGCAGTGAACGCCTACAGATACACACCAAACCGAATCATTCATAGAGATCTAGAATCCACCAGGGTACTAGAACTCATGAGGAGGAAGGCAGAAAGTGTGCTTCTAGCACTGGAGACTCACCCCAACGCCGAACTAAGGGATTTGACCAATTATGACTTAGAAGACTGGCCGAGGCATGCTAGACCTCGGAAGATATTAACCCAGGACACAAACTAAAAGGTAAGCATAGATAACCTATACCATAGCTAATCTATACTTTCTTTTTCAGATTCCCAACTAGGAAACAGCGACATGACTCCGAACAACACAAGCGACAACAGACATCGGACTGTTACAGACTGACGACAAACCGCCTGAGGATGAGCGATCTTTTAGTCACCGAAACCTGGGGACTGAAAGATTGCTTGCAGGACGGTGGACAAAACCCACACATGCGAAGAAACACACGACGCATCAGAGTTAAGGCCTTCAGCCACTCTGATTAAATGAATGATAGTATGTCATACTACATGCCCTTTTAGTAGGCATGGCATACAAATCTGATGATTTTTCACTGAGGACCTTGCCAGACGTCTTGCAAGGGGGTGGATGGAATGGGTCTCGCAGAATCCGATCCAGTTCATACAGGATGGGATTTTACGCGACTCGGGCCTGTTATACTGTGTGTGTAGAAGCAGTTCAGTTTTCGTCGACAGTCAGTCCGGTAAACATCTAGAAAAGCTCTCCGAATCCCGTTGCCCCGACCGTGCTCAGGTAGGAAATTTGCTTTATCGGCTGTGTTTATTGTGTTTGCCTAGTTTTGATTTTTTCTTAGTATTCCGTTTCATGTTGTATCAAAATTTTGGGGTTTTCTTTTCCGAAATTTTTGAAATTACTGAAATATAAGTTATATGCATTCCTATTTTTCCTATAAAACAGGTTTAAAATTAATTGGTGCCAGAACAAGAATAAATTTCGTATTACTTTTAACTAGAGTCAGTAATTTTGGATATTGTGTTAGGGTAGTTTCCGATTATTATTAGTATTATTTGGGTTAATTTCCGATTATAATTAGTATCATTTGAAGTAGCTTTCGCTTTATTTTCAAAAAGAATTTTAGAATAATATCTGAATCTAGAGACGGCCTGCGTTGAGTGGTTCACAAGGGCTTATCTAGCATTTTGGATATTGCTTTGGGGTAGTGTCCGCTTGTTGAAGTAGCTTTCGCTTTATTTAGAAAAAGAATTTTAGAATAATATCTGAATCTAGAGTCTGCCTGCGTTGAGTGGTTCACAAGGGCTTATCTAGTATTTTAGATATTGCTTTGGGGTAGTTTCCGCTTGTTAGGGTAGTTTTCGCTTTATTTTTGTTGACTAGCCGTTAGGATATTGTAATTGGGATAGTTTCTGAATATTTTTATTTTTATTTTTAAAGAAAGTTTTGATATTAATAAGGGAAATTGTCATTGCTTCTTTTATATTTTCCTAAAGAAATAATACCGACAAGAATATTTAATTTTTTTTATAAATATAGGGTGAATTCCATAATTTTTTTTTAATTTAACACAAACATACTACTAATTAATTTTTGAAAACCATTATTCCGTTTGCATTTAGAATTTACTATAATAAATAAAACACAGCCACGGGCCGAATTTGTAAACCTAATTTGTTCCTTTGATATATTTCTGTAAATAATTAATAAACGTCTGATTGAGCTCCGTCCTGTCACAGCTACCGTTCCGCAACCGCTATTTGTTCTCTCTTATTTTTTTTGTTCAGGGTGGGGCTTTGAAATATTTTACGACAATTGTTATTAGCTTTCGTAAGAAATACATGCGTTAATTTTGAATTATGGCTTATAATTTTGTGTCGACCTTTCCCCTTCATTTTTTTCAGCTTCAGAATACTTTTACGTAACAATAACGATTAAAGCCCGTTATTGTTACCTTCTTTTATTGATAGTCTGATATTAACAAGACCCCTGGAGTTATTCCGTCAACCTCCACTAGAAGCTGCCCGAACTGTGGAGCAAACCACATTAAAAAAAACTGGCGCTCGAGTACTTCCGAGTCTCAGGGTGTCACTTGTAGGGATTATATTTTCTCAGAAGAAAGAAAAGAATCTTACAGTAGCCATACTCAACCACATCGTTGGTCAGATGAAAGCGGTAAATTAAAAAAAAACGGATAAATTATCAAATCGGGTAAGGTTTACTAATTTGTTTGCTCTATTACATCTAAAACCCCTAAGCGCCTAATAACATGGAAAATGAAAAACTTATATTTTTTATCCTTCTTTTAAACCGTGTATATTTTATATATACAATATTTATATACTAAGTGACACCCTTGTACGACCATCAGCTACAAAACACAATTATCGCGTATTTACTTTTTTTTGTGAGAACAGACGATAACACAGAAACCTTTTTATCGATATGGTTGAAAAACTGATGTTTTTTTATCCTAACTTAAACAAATAGAAAGTAAGAATAAGAAGGTTATCCATACACCGAAATTTTCAAACCGTAATTACGCTGTTATAATAGTGTACAAGTGTTCCAGTGTGAATTAAAATTAAGTTTGTCTCCTGATATATGAACTTTTACCATTTAACTTAAAACTTTTCAAATGCCTGATGTTCACATATTTCTTATTTGTGATAGTTTTTTATCGCTACACTTATTTGTTAAAATTAAATTGTATTCTGTCACAAATTATTTAAATTTTCGTATTTGTTTAAAACTACTCAACTTTTGTCAAATAATCTTTTTAACACCTTTTTTCTACATTGTCATTTATTGCTAAAATACCTTAAACGTTGTTGTAGTCTCGTCAGCTCTTTAGGTACTAAGTTAGTAATTTGATAGTTTTATCACATGTTAATTTGTAAATTTCATATTCTTATTTATCATTAACCCATTAATTGTTAAAATACTTTTACATTTTTAATCAAATTAAGTCGCACTAGCATACTTTCTTACATGCCTGATGATCACTGACCGAAACTAGTCGCTTTCCCTGTTTTCAATAACAATAAAAATAACGTTTGTGGTCAAGACTTAGAGTTTTCCTTTACTTTAATTAGAAAGTATTTATAATAAATTCATTAATATTAGGTGTTTTGTTTTCTATATCACTTAGTATATATCTATTTGTATCTTTAAGGATCCAAAGTGGCGACTACCACGATGATATGAACCACGCAAACTTTATGATAATAATTGTAGGTCTCTATCGGCATTCAAATTTCCTCCATCAATGAAGATCACCTTCAACCAGACCACAAAGCCGTGCAAAAAAAATACTATTGAGGCACATGAGGGAGGAATATGGATTGACCCATTACCAAGAATTTTATCTGGGTGGGTCAGGAGACTACGTCACGTACGTACACTTGTATTGGGCACATCATCCATACCAGTGGGTTCAAAATTATATTTTCTAAATCGGGCATTTCGGGTTGGACTTTCAAAATTATCTTTTAATTCAAAAACTTTAAATCATGGCCTCCCCACTGGTTGCTACGAAACAAGTGAACACGTACGTCTGTTCGCAGAGGACGCGAGTATAGTATTCCACGAGCTGGACCGTTTCATCAAAGTGGAACGGGAACGGGCTGACCTGTCCAATAATTTGGCAAATTTGAGGTTCTTCTACTATCGGTGAGTACATCATCAATTTGTTAAATTACTAATTTTACTCCTTTGATAAACCAAACGAATTTTTACCAACACTTTCAAAAATTTATGATGATAAAATATAGTTAAAATTCGTATGATGAATTTTCTGAATAACCACAACCTTCTTTTTCGTTTCCAAGTTTGGTTTCCAATTCATCTAATAGAAACTTTTAGACGCATTTTTATTTTTTCACGGGAAACGATATTCATGATTATTTCCCTTGTTTTATAATAACCTATGACAATTTTTAAGATTCAGACAGATAAACAATACAAATTGAAGAATATAATTGAGATAACGACTGTGTAACGGGACCAGACTACATCCCAGAAGATAATTTTGAAACAGAACTGCAAAATGAAGGGAGACCAAGCAAAAACAGAAGAAGGACTAAATTGTTGACTGTAGTTGTTAAAATGGTACTGGTTTTCCTTTTCTATTTATTTAAAGAGTAGAGTAACGTTTTGAGGACAAAACTCAGTATTTTTCTGACATGTAAAATCAAAATTGCATTCTAAGAGAACTTTGTATCATTATAATTCGATAACAGGCACCACAGTTTTCCAAGTGCTTATTGAATATGCAAATAAAATTTAAGACATCTATGGAGGAAAAACAGCATTGTCAATTTATTGCAAGAGCCCATCAGTTTACAAATATCTTAGACAAAAAGGTATTATTCTCCCAGCTATATCGTCTATAAAAAAAATAGTCGAAAAATTTGAATTGCTTCAACCAGTTTTCCATCAAATCTGAAACTATGACATCAAAAGATTGTGTTGTCATGTTTGATGAAATGAGTTTAAAACGACAATAAGATATAACGAAAAATTGACAAGATTGCAAGTTTATTGGATTTATGAATATTATGAAGAAGACTCTTTCTAACCAAGAAATGGTAATTACAATACGGCTAAAGAAAATGTATGTGATGTTTCAAGTGTGAATCAACAATTTTACACAAATTTAAAGGTAAGTGTACAGAAATCGTATTTCTGGTTGGATGGCAAAATCTATGATGTTTGGCTTTTATTAAAATGTTTCAGAAACAATTTTTACATAACAATTTTCTGATTAACAAAGTATAGTGTACTGATAAAATTAATAAAACGGGACGGTGTCTTTTAAAATTGACTGAAACATTTGAATCCAAATGTATTTGATGTCAAATTAGCAGCCCAACAGTTAAGCCACAGTGTAGCAGCCGCAATAAAATTGACAACATCAATTATTTACTCTAGCTGATTTAATTGAAAAATTACACAAGGAAAAAATGGAGAACTATACAGACTTTAGGATATGACGGGTTTTTGCAATTAGAAATATAAAAATATTTTTAAACAAAACATTTTTTTTAATCGGGATACCCTTGAAAACCAATTTCCTATTAATAGGCAAAAGTGAGGAAGACACCCTTTAGTAAAAACGTTTTGGATAGTCTTTAAAATATATTTAATTACAAATTTAATTAAGCCTGCAAAAAATGTCAAATGCAAGTAATTTTGATGAAGATGACAGTATTTTTAAAATTAAGATTGTTGGATCAAATACTTTATTAGATGTTAGTACCCAGTATTTTATTTTTGGTTTCCTAGAAATGTATTAAATAGGTTTTGTTTTTAATCGGTTTGCAGAAGTGTTTTAATACCAATCCTCAACTTCTACACCAGACTATGGGCCCAGCAGAAAAGAAACACTCTATAGTAAACCTGTACCTGTATAAATATTTGTTATATCAGAATTTAAATTTCTGATAAACGTCATTGTAAGTGTCACATCAATATTCAACTTCACAGTATTTTATAACAGGTAAATTGATTTTTTGTACTCTGAAAGTTTAAGAACTATTGAAAACGTATTTTTAATACAGTCACATTGAATAGGGTGTTAATACAATTCACATAAATATCTTGCATTTAAATTTATTCTCCTAATACCACAGAGGAAACAGTAAATTGAAAAATTGCAAAAGAAAAATATCTATAATCAACATCATAATGAATTCTTGTATTTTCCTTTTAGCATATTGCAACATGACTTGAGGTACATACGCAAAATCCTGTATTGAATGGAATTGTATATATACAGTATGTACTGGAGTGGTCACTAAAACTACAGTTAAGACCCTCAAAAATGTGCACGACTGGTCAAATATGTGTTGTTGGTAAACAGAGACTTAGCTTAGTATATATATAATAAAAAATATGTTGGCTCCTGTTATCCGCGATGAAATAATTAATGAGCTACAAAATACAGTTTTATTAGATGAAAGTACTGACATAAGTAACAATAGATTATTGTGTATACTTGTCAGATACACTCATAAAAATAAACTAAAAACCCAGCTATTGTTAAAATAGAAGCATATGAAGGTACAGCAAAGGGTTTATAGTCTCTATTTAAAAAATGTATAAAAAATTCAAAGTTAGACATAAACAATAATGTCGGATACTGTTCAGATAACGCAAATATAATGATGGGTAATAAAGAATCGGTTAAAGCACGTTTATTAAAAGATAATCCTCATATTATTACTAATGGTTGCATTTGTCATTCAGCACATTTAGTCGCTGTAGCAGCTGCTGATAATATACCAAGTAATGTAGAAACTGTTTTACATAATTTATACTCCTATTTTTCGAGAAATCCAAAAAGGCAATCTACAAAAATATTTTAATAAATCCAAATTAAAAATTATTCAGCCTAGTAATACCAGATGGCTTGCCTTATTCAATTGTGTAGAAAGTGTACTGAGTCAGTGGGACGTACTACTTAATTTGTTTAGATTAGCTTCATTTAGAGAAAAAAATCATCTTGCGAATATTATATTCAATGAACTCCAAAATCCGTATGTGAAAGCTTACTTAACATTTTTTAAACACACTCTTCCAATTTTTAATAAGATTAATGCATTATTTTAATCTGAAAAAGTTATGGTAAATATATCAACAGAAAGTGAACTATGCAGTTATTACAGAATTGTGATAATAATTTGAACGAGCAGTTTAAACTAAAATGTTTGACATTTTATCAAAAAGCTGTTCAGGAATCATTAACTCGATTCCCAATAAAAGATCGGTTTTATTCCGAATTGCAATTTCTTTCCCCTAGTAATGCTTTAAATAATACCACTTTTAGTAATGCGATTTACACAGCTGTCTTAACGAAGTTTAGCCACATTATAAATCCTGATCTGGCTCTAACAGAATTAAAACAAATATATTTATATTTTAATGAAAATGAAAGGGCAGAAATACTAAAAAATAAAAGTGACATTGTAGAATTTTGGTCATATATGAATGAGTTAAAAAAATTTAATGATGAACTATTATTTAAAAATATTTCCAGGTTTTGATCATACTTATAATGATTAACTATTTTTTATATTTGTACATTTTTATTTTATAAGCTGAATATTTTAAAAACGTTTCTGATTTATCATTAGTTTTGTTCAATTATTGTGTTTGAATTACTTTCCTTCCATTGTAACATATCATTTTTTTATCCCGAAAATATATGTTGAAAATAATCTTAATCCACATATACTATACTACTACTACCACTATCATTTTGTTATCTAAAGTACTACTGTTTTTAAGGAACCCATATAGGTGTGTTTTTATCTATGTATTGTAACATTCTGTTTTTAATAATATTTGGATAAGCACTGATACAGCTCTGTAAATACCATTTTATTTCATATATTATGTATTTAGGTAGATTTTTGTACAGCTTTGTATTTTTATAATATATTGTATAACTATGATGGAGGGTGGAGTTTTCCGGGTTTTCCTCACCTGTAAGTCAAATGGCACCATCAATCATCTGTAAGTCGCCCCGGAGCGCTCTAGCAAATAATAATAATAGCCGCCCCTACCCCGCACAAGCTCTGCTTCCTGGGTTAAAATTCATTCGTAAGGCTGTGAATTATAGGGAGAGTATTATTATTATTATACTAGATTAAGAAATACATTTTTTTACCAAAATTGTTTTATTTATTTACATACTCCAAAAATATTTATAAAGTTCATTAAAGATATAAATAAAATTTATCAAGTTTAATCAGTTATAAAAAAAATAGATAACTTGTTATATAAGGTAAGTAATATTTTCTTTCTTCAAAGACTGTGGAAAATGTTTAAATTTAAACTCCTCTAATATTAATGGTAATCATTTTTGAAGTTCGTGCTCTATTTAAGTATGCCGTATGCGCATGTGCGTGACAGCCAAATGCATACTGTCGCGAGACATTCGTTATCCTACAAGACAATTTGTCACTAGAACGTAAAACAAGAGAAATGTGACATATGACAGTTGACGTATATCATATGACAGATGATCTACGACATATGACAAGAGACCGTAGCGCGTAGGGGAACGTAGCAAAATTTTTCAATTTTTGTAGCGGATTTCTTTAACGACACTCTGGCAACACTGTTCAGAAGAGTTGGATATTCGACGACAGATTAATGTATTACTACTTCGTGAGAAGAAAGTGGACAAGCAGTTGGAGGATTTAGGGCGGAGTCTACCCAAAGCAGAAGAAAGCAAAAATTAAAATGTGACCACGAATGCCCTACCATTGGTGGATGAATCTAGGAAAGGAAACCAGAATGTTGACAGTGCGGATAAGTTTGAGAAACCAGAGAAGAAAATACCACTCCTAAAGAGTGTCAAAGTGAAACCATATAAACTGGAAAGAACGCAAAAAAGGAAACTTGGCGCCGCAATCGATGATGGGTTATTTAAATCTAAACCTACAAGGCCATCAATGATTGCACCGAAGAGGAAGTGTTTAAGTGTGGCCAGAACAAGTTGCCCCACGACATCGCCAGAACCCGCGAAACCCGTAAGCTCCCGCCCAATGACGAATAGAGGGAAACTACGTTTATTAAAAACTACGAAGTCAAAGAAGTCGAAAAGAGCGCCAAAATTTAAGTGGTCCCCTCAAGCAAAAAGTTGGCTTTTAGATCCTGGCCTGCAAAACAGTCCTTGATTGTACGTAAAAAGAGGGTTTGGGTGCGCGGCCACAACGAGCCGACCCACGACATCAACTAGCCTACCCCTGATGGTTGAAAACTCGCACCCTATGTACAATTTAGCCTTATTAAAGAAATAAGAAACTAAGGTTACTACACTAATAAATATAAAAAAAAAAATAAGAAGGGATTATACTCTAGGTGTTGAAACTCGCAAAATTTGATGCAGCTAAACTAGCATTTGAGAGTAAAAAGCAGAAACACGAGAAAACATTCTGACCAACAGAGAGGGAGCTGAATTGACTTCAGAAGAGATGGATATTCGACAACAGATTGATTTATTACTACTTCGTGAGAAGAAAGTGGACAAGCAGTTGGAGGATTTAGGGTATAATGAAAATGTGAGTCGTGAGCGAGTGATGCGGTCAATGTAAAAAAGAAAAATGAAATATTTGTTCAGGTTAAAGCGCTAGAGACTTGTTTGGAAGAATGTTTGGCAAGTCTAACCGATATGCCGAACTGAATACTAGTGTAGGTATTTATTTAGCGATCCTAGTTTAAAAGATACTAAATAAACCACTAGTTAATATTCATTTATTATTAATTTAACCATAATAAAACTAGTACAGCTGAAGGCACAAACAACCATCAAAAGCATTTTAATAATAATAAAGTAGTTTTATATGCAAGTCAAAAATATTGGGAATAAAATAAGGTGCAACAACCATAAAAATGTAGAGTTGTCAAAAAAATTACCTATGGTATAATCAAGACTTTTTGATTATTTATCAGTGACAAGTCGTGTACTTCAATACAAAAAAAGCAGTGTATTTATAGTACGAGTAAGAGATATAGTTAAGTGTGACTTTAAAAGCTTTAAAGCCAGCCGGCAACATACAAAAAACTAAGGAAACTGATACATCACCTTTAAAAATAGTAGAGAAGCATTCAAGTGATTGAGAATACTTATTTTATCTTTACTTCCCTCGTTAAAAGGGAAGTATTGTAATCGTGAAAATTTGTGATAGTGATTTAGATGAAGAGCTACCAGTCAAGAAAAAATGAAATCATTTGAATTATCAAGCACAGAAAATATGTTTCAACGTGTACACAAATCTGCACGAGAAGTTTGGTTTCGACACAAAATTACTACTACTATTTTATTTAAATACTTCTTTGGTAAACGATTGAAAACAACTTTATACGTCAGTTAAAAGAACAATAACAAATGAAATAATAAGAAAAAATTTGAAAACACGAGATATAACTTGAGCTGCTGTGACAGAACTATTCAGAACAGGTTAGAGAAAATGGGATTTAAATTTAAAACAATAAATAAACGGCAAGCAGTTATGGAAATCAAGAGATTAATCGATATTCGATACTTAGAACAAATAACGAGATATAGACAAGAAACTAGAAAAATTTACTATTTGGATAAAACATGGTATGACACGCACGACACAGTTAAGAAGGGATGGCCAGATGGATCAAAAAAGTGTACGCCCAAAATGCCAGTAAATAAAGGATCACGGCTGGTTATTTTACATTGAGAAGGAAGCGAAGGTTGGGTTCACATTTCATTGAAATTATGTGGTAAAAAAATGGAAGACTACCATTCACGACAGCTCACTAATATTCCAAATAAGAACTCGAACGAAAGCGGATATACAAAATTTTCTAATGGACAATGATTTGTATTTTCAAGACAGCTTTAAGAAAGAAGAACTTCTTAATGTTTTACGGCAATCAAGTGGTTGATTTGGGAGAACAAACAGCGCAATATACGTATTCAACATGCGACTAATGGTAAGGAGATCCAAGTAGCTGGGGTGAAAGTCGATGGGTACAGCCGGGAAATCAAACATGCATGTTTTTAGAAATGTTATTTGCAGAAGAATGTTGGATTAGCTCTTGATTCATATTCAAGGAATTCTCAGCATTGTCAATTAAGGTGATATTTCCTCTATGATTTTAATTTCTTCGACCAACGGATTGTATTTACTTTGCCGAATATGTTTCTTCATTAAGACTATTTCTGAGAGGCACAACCATGTAGGAAGGTAACTTCCTTGAGATGCACGCCGTTCATGTTTAAACATTCGCTCATGGGGTGTACAATTAATTGAAGTACATAATAAGGATCTGTGAATGAAAAACATCATGTAAGACCATATCCCCGGACTGACCCCTCCAACACCCTCGCCACCCAACCCAGCGGCTCAGATACCTACCATCCAACCACCGAACCGCCCCACTCCACAAAGGCCACCTATAAGCCCCGCCCCACCCCTCCAACGCCCTTATCGCACTAGCAAACGATGCACTGTTACTTTCAGTGCACGTTTCAACTGACCAGCTCCACAGAGCTTCAGTGATTCTAGACTATGTGGGATCTTATGTATTAGCGTCGAACAGTAAGTTCGCCTCTATTTTTTTACTTGTTTCTATTTCGTTCAGTCCAGTTCATAGTGGTAAGCCCACTCTTATTGACGATCCTTTACATCGTTCTATTCGTATTCTATTTGTGTTTAGCAGCATGCTAATTGACTATTAGAATAATTTTATTTTGTCTTTTTGTTTATCTAATTTTTTATTACAAGAATAATTCCTCTTGTTTTTCAGTGTGGAGACATTCTTCCTACTTTCAGCTCTGGTGAAAATAGACAAGACACGTAATATTCCCTTAAGGAAATCATCAACAACAGTATCCATAACTGCGCAGAAATCTTTTGCAAGATATGTGCTACAGTCAGTTTGATTCTCAAGTCTCCTCCATCCACAGATACCCTTTTCGTCATTTACGATCTCGAGGCAGGAGAAGGTGCCTGATTGTTTCTTTTTTACATGAGCTTGCGCATTTGATATTTTGCTCGGGAGAATAATTTAAGACGACACAAAGTGATTCAGCCTTTTTGGTTCGAAAACTAGTGTTAATACATTTTTAAAAGGAATACATAGTGGAATGTGAAGTACGAGTAATTTGGAGATACCGAACTAATCCGCTGGTAGTGGATATTGAATTTCAAATTGGAAATAGGTTTTATTAAAGATCAAGACTGGTTGGCGAAAAGCTGTCGTGGATTTTTTTGTAACTGGGCTGTCCGCCATTTTGTTCGTTTGAAGCAAGGCACTCCCTATGATAGGGGTAAGTTATAATAATCCAACATTTAATAATTTTCTTGGTCAGTAAATCTATGAAAACAATATCACTAGAGAAAAATATGCTAGGTACCTATAGGATGTCTCATTCTAAAGTTCCTGCGGAGTGTTAAGTTCCTGCGGAGTACTGATTTCCTGAAGAGTACTAAGAGCACGTGTTATGAAAAGAATCTAAATATTCTAATAACTGGGTCTAGGAGTCAGCTTTGGATAGAAATAGTGGCGCTGATTTATATTCAGGACTTTCCCAAATTGGTTTGGACCATCTCATCCAGCAATAGGCCTAACCCATGTGGAGGTTGGCCTACCTCTTCACAGTCTACGGATATTAAAGAAAAGTTCTATTAGTGGCACTGCTGTTCCAGTGTTTAAGGTATCACCGACCTTAAAACTTTTATTTTGGCGAGATCAATTTTTTTTTTTTTTTTTTTAAATTTTATGTGAACTTTCAAATTCCCCATGTACGGGAAACGTGTAATTTAATTTATAGTTAAATATTAGCATAATTTTATAATCAATAATGCGTTTTATAATCTTCATATAGCGGTTTCGTGGCTAGATAAAAACTAGTAATTTCATTATGGCGATTATAAAACAACTTCTTTGGGATATTTTTAACTTACCTATTACATTACTTGTGGTAATTAGCCGTTGTTATTCTATATGTATCTATATGAACGTTAATATTTCATATATATCAATAAACTCAACAGTGAGCCTATTGTGGAGTTTTATTTATGGTTGGAGATTATGTTTAACAATATTAAGTTTAGTAACTATCAATGCACCTCTCAAATACAATTTAATAAATACTATTGAATACACTGTGTGTTCCTGACTTAGAGCTACAGAAGCAACTCAAATAGGTAGGTATTTATCACTTCGATCTATTCAATTAGTTATAGAAATTTTAACGTAACAAAACACCCCTCGATCCCAGAAAGATATTTTATTGAGAATGGACATATTTCAGACTATTACAAAACTCAAGACAATGAAAAAATTAAGTATGTAGATGTATGTTTACTGTACCCATAGGTTTGTAAATATGGACAATTCCCTGTTGGTCATCCGACAGTTTACGTAGGCGATGAATGCTCATCATTAACCAAAGTTTCAGGACTTGTAAAGTGCAGTGTGTTACCTCCTAGAGATCTACACCCAGTTATACCGCAAAAAATGAACAACAAACTCATGTTTGTTATCTGTCGAGAATGTGGAGAGAACCTCAATTCTGAAGAATATACACAATTCTGATGAAGAGCGAGCTTTAACAGGAACATGGGTAATAGCAGAGGTTAATAAAGCAATTAAGAAAGGATAACTCGTACACTTTGAGTGTGGGCATATGATACAATTTAGTTTGGAAACAATGTTACAGGCATGATGAATAAATGAATTAAGATAAAACAATAGTCATCTGATTGGCCTGCAAATTATCGAACCCAAGCCCAGAAGGACCAGTATATTGGAAGGTTTTTTAGAACGAGATGTCAAATTGAGGTTTTCGCAGATGGCCGACAATCCGGACTTACGTTCATTGGCTAAACTTATGCTAAATAGTTTTTGCTGCAAATTTGAGCAACGTGAGAATCAGTCTAAGCGTATTACAATTAAAAAACTGCAGTATTTTTTAGCATGATGTCCAACCTTTCTTTAAATGTAAATAGAGTACTAGCTGCAAACGAAGATACACTAATTGTTAATTGGGAGTACAGGAAAGAAACTTCCGAATCCTTATCCACAGTCAACGTGGTAATATCAGCCTTCGTTACTACGATGACTCGTCTCAAGTTATACAGTCACCTAGAGGAGCTTGAAGAGTTTTGTATTACGATACGTACTCGGTAATATA